ATGTTATCAATGAAGTTTTATTCAGGCAAGAAGATAAGAATTGTCACAAAATTAAGAGGTGGTCACCACTCAATAATTAGTCATCAAATCAATAGTTCTAAATTCTAGTCTATAAAAAAAAGCATTTGCCATACATTTAAGCATCTTGGTTTTCAGATCAACATCATACTCTTTATTTTTTTTATTTTTTTTTGTAATATTCAAGTTTTATTTCATGTTATAGTTTTATTAATATCTTGTTTATGTCTTTTATTTCCTTTATTATACTTATATAATCATGTTTTGCTCTTATTTATTGATGTTTCTCTTCTTTATTATGTTTAGTTAAGTTTATTATGTCAATGTAAAAAGGTTTCACTAATGGTGTTAGGATAAGTATAATATAAACTTAATATGGACTTCAATGATTATATCCTAAACAACTTGCTATTAAAATGTCTTATCATTTTTATCTTATTAATTATTAATACCTTGCTTGTTAAATGGTTAATCTAGATTTGTATTGTTTAACACTTGGTATAACAAATGTTTAGCACTTTCATAGCCAACCATATGGTATAACCTACACCTATGTTATGAAAGGAACTTGATTTTTTGTTAATATAAGTTAGCATCATAAATTCCTGATAATATTTAAAAGTTTGGTATTACTTAAATAAGATAATTAATATGACCATGTTAACAATTTATAATGAGCTATTAATACAAATCATCCAATTAAAACCTCCTTTGTGTGTAGTTTTCAATTAAGTAATAAAAAGAGTTTGTATTATATTTATTTTTAATACCATTAGTGAATCCTCTAACCTTGATATTTATTTTTATCATTGTCTAATCCTCACATTAATCTTACATCTCAAAGTTTTTTTAACTTATTATTATTATTATTATTTGTAATTTATATAGTTAACCTTTATGTGGTTCGACCCTAGTCTTGTTAGGTTATTTATTACTTCAACACTCCTGCACTTGGGAGAAGACATCAATCTTTTGATCGTGTCATATAGTATCATAAATAATTAAAATAAATACAATGACTTCTAATCTTAAAGGTGTAAAGAAATAAACTTCAAAGTTGTTAAGTGATGATAAATTGTTAAGGAACTTCATGGAAAATAACATAGAAGATGAAGTTAAAGGCGATAATTATTTATTAAAGTCTGTATCATGCAAAGATGCACTCAAAACATCTATCTCATTACATCTTAAAACATGAGAAACTACATCAAATGTTTTTTAATTTACTAAGAAAAGTCAGAGATGAGGTAAAAGAAGACAAAAATTTCAAGAGAAAACACGTAAGATTAAAACCATATTTTATAAAAGGTTTTTTAATTGAGTCATGTATATATATAATTTTAATGTATAAAGAGATAATTAATTTATTTATCAAGTCGGATCTATGTGTTTTATTTAAAATATATTATCTTATAAATTTAATGAATTATTGATTTACCACATTAGTTTCAATTTGAGACCAACCAAAAATGTTATTTAATCAAGGTTACTAGTTTACTGAGGTTATATTGTAACTAGATAACTGCCCATGCTATGCTCCAATTCAACCAAAAAGTTTTTAAACATAAAAGTAAAATCTCAATGTAACACGGAATTCCTTGGCATTATTATTAAACATGGTCTTGCGAGTCAACCTTAAATCTCCTGACTAGACTTCTTGTCTAAACCAAGTTTAAAACTAAATCATGTGAAAGTTGTATGATGTGACCTAGCTAACTTGGTTGATCAAAAAACAATTCTGGATAATAAGCAAAAACATGTTTTGACTTAAAAGAATCTTAAGATGAAATATTTAAAAAACAAATATTGAAGTAATGACATTTTGATTTACCTGAGCCTCTTGACTTAACATGTCAAACTCTCAACCTAGGTTATTGATTAGTACTTAAAAGTATATTTTTATCAAGGTTTTATATCATTATTTTGCACTTGAAGTATCAATAACTCTTTAACTAAAGCATTTTTATAATAACATATCTAATAATATAAGATACCTTTAATTTATGGTAAATGTTCATTTTAAATGCAGGACTATCACATAAATAAAAGGATTGAGTAATGAGTTTAAGAATTGAAATTGAAAGGACAAAGAGATGACCAAACTTAGAAAAGAGATGCTGGTGCAGTCCAAACCAGAACATTGTTTGGTAATTAAGTCATATTTGGAGTTGTAGATATCAGATTTAGATTTAATTTATATGGATGGAAAGGTAAGACATAGGCCTACAACTTTCATATAGAGCCTAAGATTTAATAAGGTCATTTTCAAGTCTAAATTGTAGCAACAATGAAGAAGTCTGAATTTGTCCTACAGCCTAAATATTGTTCAGTGTTTAAGTCATATCTACAGTTCTAGAAGTCCAAATGACCTCCATTTTTTGTCCTGGAAAGCTGAGACAATTTCCTACAACTTTTATATTTTCAAGTGGCACCAATTCTGACGTTATTAATAATGTTTTGGGCAGACAAGAGAAGATGAGGATTGTCACCAAGTCAAGAGTTGGCCACCCATTCATCAATTAGTCATCAAATCAATAGTTCTTAATTTTGGCCTATAAAAGGAGATATTTTCCATGCATTTAGGCATCTTGGTCTCTAGATCAAGATCATGCTCTTGCCTCCTCTTTTTGTATTTTTTTTTGTAATGTTTATGTTTTGCTTTCATTAATATCTTGTTTATGGCTTTCAATTCCTTCCTTTACTTAGTTAACTTTTATCTTATTTATATTTTTATTTTGTCTATTTATTTTTCTTTCATTCATTATGTTTAGTTAAGTTTATTATGTCAAGGTGAAAAGGCTATAATATTGGTGTAAGAATAAGTATAGTGTAAACTTAATATAGACTTTAATGTTTGATACTAACATGTTTTGTATTTGTTATCTTGTTCACTCTTTAATACTTTGCTTGTTAAATGACTAATCTTGATTTATGTTGTATAACACTTGATACAACAAATGCTTGGCACTTTCATAGCCCATACTATATGGTATAACCGACACCTGAGCTATGAAAGGAACTTCATTTGTTGTTAACATAAGTTATAATCATGAATGGCTGACGAGATTTACAAGTATTAGCATTAATCGCGTAAGATAACTAATGTAATCATGTTAACAATTTATAATCTCATTGAACCCTCCTTTGTGTGTGGTTTCCAATTGAATAATAAGAGTTTATACTATACTTGTTTGACATACCATTAGTGGATTTTCTAACCTTGACATTTGTTGTTATCATTGTTTAATCCTTACGTTAATCTTTCATTTTAAAGTTTTTATCAACTTCTTCTTCTTCTATTATTATTATTATTATTACTACTACTATTGTTATTGTTGTTGTTGTTGTTATTGTTGTTGTATTATTGTTATCTATAATTTATACAATTAACTTCCCTGTGATTCGACCCCGATCTTGCCGGCTTATTTATTATTTCGACACTCCTATACTTGGGAGAAGACATCAATCTTTTTGTCGTGTCAGTTATGGTCATTAGGTTTAACAACTTTGTTTTTCAAAGACTATTTTTTACTCAATTATATGATAACAAAAATAGATGATTATAAAATCAAGCACCAACCCAATGTTGGGATGTTTGCTTTAGACAATGATAATATTATATAAAAAAATCAAAATAAATTATGAAACTCAATTCTTAATCAACTCAAGTTGACCCATTAGATATGCCATGTAGGTCATGGACTCTATTGAGTTTAATAACTTTTTTTCTTAAACTACTTTATATTTAATTATAAGATAAGAAAAATAAACACTCGCAAAATTAAACACCAACCAAATAGCAAAACAATTGTTTAACACTATGATAACTTCATAAAATGAAAACTGAAATAAATTATAAAAACCAATTCAAAATCAATTAAATGTTAAATGATGAAATTAAAAAAATTAAACCAATAAAAAAAATCAACAAACATCCAAGGTTAAAGACTGAAATTAAAAAAAATAAATCAAGAAAACAAATAAAAAAAAGTAAATATATGGCCTTGGATGACCCACGCCTTGCATAATTAGGTTGTTTAAAAAACACTAGACACACTTGGACTTTATTGTTGTTATTGTTGCCACCTCAAAAATAAACAATACATTACTTTTTATTTTTTAAAAATAGGTGATAGATTATTTGTTAGGCCGCTGCTTAGAATTCAAATCATGTTAATGTTAAGTTGTGTTAGTTTAAAAATAAAAAATAAAAAAGACCTTTAGCTTATTTTAATAAAACATTGAGTGTAAAACACTTGGGATTGCCTATATATGAAAAAAAAAATATAGTTATTCTTGTGGTAATAGAGATTTGGTGTTAATATCTAAAGCATCTCTTGGCATTGTCTATATATGAAAATAAATATATAATTGTTTTTATGGTAATAAAAAGGTGGTGGCACTATCTAGAACATCGTTGTTTTATTATAAAAAATTATCATAAAATTTTATTTGTGTTTTATAAAGTGATTTTTTTTTAATTTTGTTATTTTACAATAATTTAAAATTTTATCCCATAAAATTAAATTATTAAAATATTAAATTAAAAAATACAGTAACAATTTTTTTTATATTAAAAAGATGAAAATAAAAAAAATAAGATTTTGACTATTTATATTCAAATGACCAATAAACACCATCACAAATCCCTATTTTTTTAGTATTTTATATAATTATAATTACATTTTTTTAATTTGAAATATAATAATATAAAATTAAATATTATCAACATAAAAGTAATTTAAAAATAAATTTTAATAATTAATTATTTCTCAAAATTAGAAAGACTAATTTCTTAGTTTACTCTCTCTCCTTTTCTAGAATTAAGAATAATCCTTATTCTTTTTTACGAGATTTTTTAGATTAAAAAAAGAAAAGGTATAACTTTCAGTCTATTATAGTCCGTACAGCACCCTCCCGCACCTGCATAAAACCTCACACACAGCAGACCGTTACTATAACAACAAAAATTCCCTCCCTTTTTCATCTCTATCTCTCTAGAAAACAAAACGCCATTATTCTCTCTTGAAAACCTGCTGTTCCTCTTCTTTTATCCGTGCATTGAAACGAAATGACGGCGGCGGTGGCGCCGTGGAAGCAACAAGTACTACAGAGGGGAGCGTCGCTGTACGTGGGTGACTTGGACCCGGAAGTAACAGAAACGGACTTGAGAGCTGCGTTTTACCATGTGGGCCCCATTTCCTCCCTCAGACTCTGTCGTTGTCGTCTTACCGGAAAGTCTCTCTGTTACGCCTATGTCAACTTATACTCTCATGCTCAAGGTAGTCCTGATTTTTTCTTTTCTTGAAGAATAGAGAAATGGGGATTTAGGTTTTTCATTTCTTGGTTCTGTATTATATATGGGCTTCTGTTTCGGTTAGTTCTTGACTTCGAGTCTGTGCTTTTTGATTTCAGCATCTAAAGCTTTGGGTCTTCTAAATCACACTAACTTGAAGGGAAAACCCATGAGGATAATGTGGTGTCAAAGGGACCCTTTTGCAAGAAAGACTGGTTTTGCCAATCTCTTTGTAAAGAATATAGACTTTTCGATCAGCAGCTCTTGCTTGGAGAGCATCTTTAGCAAGTATGGGACAATACTTTCTTGCAAGGTGGCTGGAGAAAACGGATGGAGTAAGGGTTTTGGGTTTGTTCAGTTTGAGTCTCAGGATTCTGCTCTGGCTGCTCAAACGGCTCTCCATGATACTATGCTGGGTGGGAAGAAATTGTGAGTCCCTTCGGTGTATTTACTACCCTCACTTTCTTTGATTTTTTATGTTTCTTTTGATGAACAGTTTTCTGTGAATGACAAAATGTTGGTTGGAAACTACAGGAAAGAGAAACAAAGAAGAAATTGTTTGAAACTGATCATTGTTTTTTGTTCTTTCAAAGTAGTGCATTGTAACCAATTGTCGATGTGAAAAAAAATTTGTTCTTTAGATTTTGGATTTAAAGTTCGAAATCTATTCATAAAAATTTATTAAGATTTCTTAAATGCATCAAGCGCATGTGAATGCAACGTTCTTAAGATTTTCTTGTTGATGTGTGCTAACAAAATTCAAATGTCTCTTTTATAATAAGGTTTAATAATTAATGCGAACTGTTTCTAATTTTCACTTACAGATTTAGAATGTTAAGACATATTGGATACAGACGAGAAAAATAAATCTGCAAAATACACTCATAAAATTTGAGTTATAAAAGAACATTATGGAAAAATAGCTCTCAAAAGATTGTTTCAATAACTGTATACAATCTAAATGAGAACAAATTGTAGATACCTGTTTTTGAGATAATTAAACGTTGATATGATGATTTACTTGAGACTATGAGATACGATTTTGTATGTTTCCTGTAATTTCAGCAACCAAACTAGGATGAAAGACATTTGTACAAATGTTAAATCAGCCGTGTGAATTAAATTACTCAATCAAGGCATTAAGAATTAAGAGGTTTGTCCGTCCTGTCTAATGGAACTTGTGAACTGAATTGCTTAATCAGGACATTAAGAATAAAGAGATTCGTTTGTCCTAAGTAATGTAAATTTTGAACTTTCACTAGTATTGCACTTGTTTTGCTTGTTTATTCTCTCAACTTCCACACATGTTCTACTAACATGATTTCCATTGCCATTTCTTGATGTGCAGAGTTTCTTTTACCATCTGTATTAATTTGTTGATTTGCCGTTTTATGTATCTCACGATTGAACAATTGCATTTCTATCTCAGGCATGTCTGCAAATTTGTCAAGAAGACTGAAAGGACAGCAGCAGCGCCATGCGAAGTGTTCACCAATCTTTATGTTAAAAATCTAGATGAAACAATAACAGAGGATGGCCTAAAGGATATGTTTTCTGTAGTTGGTGATGTTTCTAGTGTTGCCATCATGATGGATCACGAGGGGAAATCAAAACATTTTGGATTTGTCAACTTTAAGTCTCCAGATGATGCCAAAAGGGCTGTTGATGTCATGAATGGTTCTGTAGTAGGTAAACTTAAAGCTAGTTCCTCGTCATTTCCCTTGCTTATATATTTATCAAAGAAAAAAAAAATCCTTGATTATATATATGCTTCAAGTAATGGGAGGATTTAACTTCTTTAACAAATGAACCATCAATTTCCAATTTAGGTTCGAAGACTTTGTTTGTAGGAAAGGCTCAAAGGAAATCTGAAAGAACAATGATATTGAAGCAAGAATACAAGGACTTGCACAACAGAAGTACTGAGAAGTTGAGGGCTTTAAATCTGTATGTAAAGAACCTGAATGTAGACATTGATGACAAGAAATTGAAAGAAGTTTTCAGTGCCTATGGGAAGATTCTTTCCGTGAAAGTGATATGCCATAATGATGGAACTAGCAAACAATTTGGTTTTGTATGTTTTGCGAGCCCTCAAGAAGCAAACAAGGCTTTGGTTGCACTAAATGGTCATCCTCTTTTTTTTTTTCCGTGTAATTTTTCTTTTCTATTTAAGCTTAATTAGTTTCATCATTTACTAATAAGCAATTTATAATTTTCCCAGGAGCCCTCCTTGAAGGAAAGATTCTTCATGTGGCAAAAGCTCAGTGCAAAAAGGATCGCCACCAGGAATGGCACAAATTCTCTGGACAGAACCAACCTCAGTCTTTCTATCCTTCTAACTGCAATACTGTTTCCTCAGCACTCCACCCACTTCATTTCAATTTTGATCGCTCTCCACATCTCCCTTTCCTCCACCATCCAATGTTCTGTCAACATTTTGGTGCACATTTTGGTGTTCAGCATCCTTTTATGGCACAAAATTACAAGCAGAAGTTTTCCACATATGTACGCCTCTACTTTCACTCTGCAATGAGCTTTTAGCTATTAGAAATCCTTCTGTTTAGATTACTATCTTGTGTGCTTGTCAAATCACAGATGCCAGTGGCGGAAACGCCTCTAGGGAGCACGTTGAACACCAGAGACAAGTCCTACCAACAGCATGTATGCTAATATCATTCAAAAACATTTGCAGCAATTATTTTCTGTTGCATGGCATGATCCGAAGTTGTAACAGATCTCTGAAACCATTTTCCTTCAATGTATCCTTTAGTAGATTTTGCAATACACTGAGCCATTTACTTAATTTTCTCATTTCTTCCATACTGTGTTTTACAGTCCTTGAAATTTGCAACCTCTAATTTTAGCAACCGAGACCTGAAACTTGGGTCTGCTGGAGGTCAAAAGCTTGGTTCCGAAAAGAAGGGTAGCAAGAGTGGAGCAGCTGTAGAAGATATTTCCACTGGATCACCATCTACCAAATGTCTTCCTGCAGCTAAATCTACTGACAGTACCGTCATTAACATTGGGAGTCTTCTTCAACCCGTTGTAAAGAAACTTGAGGTTTGTGGATTCTCAATTCCCCACCTTGAAAATATCGCAGTCTAAGAGGACAACCTTATTTGCCTGATTCTCTATTCCCCTCCCTTCTCCTGAAAGACATCATAAAACCCATTGGAAATGAGCAAATTGAATCTCACAGAGTTCAATTGGTTCGGGGGGGACAAATGCGTTTGCTGGTGCTGCTTGAGCTACTAGTCAGTAGCAGTAGAGCTATCCACTTTAATGACTGCTTGTCTCACCAGTTCCTGTTAACATTTAGTTTTTCTACTAGTTGCACTGTTTTGTTATAGGAAGAAATGCTATGCATTAGTTGTGCTGTAAATTTTTACTAGGAAGGATTCACACAGTTCTCAGAATTCTCAGACATGAAATGGAACTTTAGATTTTTCTTATCATACTGCCTTCTGCTTGGCGTTTCTTTTCAGCCCATCACCTTCTGTTTTTTAAGCAACTTGTGATATTACAAGGTAACAAAACATCGTGCAAATCCTTGAACATAATTTTCCTTTTACGCTAACTTCTTATTTTTATCTTTGGCAAATTATGTGATCCTATTGATTCGGAGGGACTTCAGCTTAATGAATTCATTCACACCTTGACGAACATAATTGGAATAGATAAAAGTTTGCGTCAGGCATCTTGTAATCCATAAATTTTCTTCAGTTACATGAAGATTAACAAGGATTTCTTCTTTTTTATCACTTGTAATAGATACAATAATAATTCTCAAAAGCAAAAAAAAAAAAACAAGAAGCTAAGACAACAACAATAAGGTCCAGCACACGGGACATATTGCAGACACAAGAATAGTGATACATCGTCAACCAATGAGGGAGATGCCTTGAAGAATCAATGCATCAGCAAGAACCTGATTAGCAGCCTGAGATGGATGGACGCTGTCCCAAAACACGTACTTAGTGGCATTTGGGCAAGTTCCTAGGGATTTTGGATTGCACAGCAATATTGTCGTCTCCACTGTTCCCGTCCCACAGCATCCTCTCCTTGCTTCTTGGAAACCTACAAATTAAAAATTGCTACAATTCATTGCTTGAAAGAAACTTTTAGTAGTCCCTCAGAAAAAAGTTGATCTAGTACCATTTTTTGAAGGAGATTTAACAAGGTCATAGAGTGGCTGGAAGATGTCGAATATAACAATCTTAAGACCAGGGAGTTGTTTTTGGAGGCTTGTTGCAGCTGAGTTGATCTTCTTGTTGAATTGCTGGGCATCAGTGTTGATCCTTGAGATGCACCCATTCTCGTGATATCCGAATATGGTTCGGGCAGCTGGAAGGCAACCCAGTGGTGGGAGTGAAGTCACCCCAAGTTTCCTACCCCCCAAGCCGTACAAGGTCTGTGTTTCATACAGAGCTCTCCACCGTCATTGAGATTCAGATGAAAATATAGAAACAACTCACAAGAGTACCGTACCTTGACAAAGCTTGTGAATGAACCGACAAGGTATGAGCCATATTGATCAGCAGTATAGATTTTGTTTAGGTATGGATTGACGTAGTAATTCTGAAGAAAGTCACTGCTCCCCGCACTCAAAATATATAGCGCACCCTTGATGATTGATGCCGATTTGCTACCAGCAACCTTCGCTAGCTTACTTTGGTATTCCTTGAAGTACTCCAGTTGCTGGCTCAATGGAATGGCATGCTGCAGAGCGAGGTTGATTATTAGAGATGATAAAACTCTATAATACTGAAGGACTGATCATGTATGACATCAGGAATATTCCTTACGTTCAACGCAGCTGCCCTTTCATCGTAACCAGATGCTGCAGATGCAAAGTTGGATCCAATAAGTAGGTTCTTCCCTGATGCTTCTGGGCTCAGATACGCCGGTGCGTAAGACTTAAATCCCAGAGTCTCAGCTGCAAAAAAAATTCATTCGTAAGGCGTCATTCAAATCCCTTATAAGCAACATTACTGACCAATCTTGGGAATTTTGATGCTTTTTTACTCACCAGTGATGTCGGTGGCTAATTTACCATTACAAAACCTCCCTGTAGGTTTATGATCGACAAAGTCCCTTCCATAAGGAGGGTAATTGGCCTTGAATATCGTGGGGAGATAGTCATTGTTGCCAACATCCACAGCCGAGTCACCAAATGTTATGATAGCAGGAACTAGGGCATCTTGCGCCCAGCCAACATCCACAAGTGCAAATGCAAAGGCCAAAATCAATGCTGCTCTGTAGCATATTTCCATTTTTCTGCTCTAGTACTGCATGAAAGGATTGGGCTGGCTTAAAAAGAAGTGTAAAGCCAGTCAACTGAAGTGATTCCTGAAGATGGTGGATGGAAGTTGGGAAGGGCTAATAAATGAGAGTTGTTCAATAGGCAATATCGGCATTCAAATCATTCATCTTTTATACATGTATACGTCTCCCAACATGCGCTAAGGTCATTTCAGGCTTCTGTTTTTATGGCTATACGTGCATTGAAGAGAACATATTTATGATTATGGATGAAGAGGAGGCATGGTAGTTGGGATGATAAATGAGGATGCACGATCTGAATAGGAAGTTGCATGTGCGGGAGTTAATTTTGGTTGTTAAATAATTAGCCAACTCACATGCTGATGCTGCTAGTTTGATAAATATAGACTAGGAAATGCAATAACACATGGATTTTCTGAGATTGTGTGGTTGCTTTGGCATGGAAAGTAAAGCTGTCCAAGTGTCCATGAAAGAGAACTTAGTGGAAAGCAAGGAAAAATCACAACTTTGCGGGCAGTTTGAAGCTGGGAAGGCCAGTAATTTGTGATGGGTTATCTATCCACTAACGCCTCACCCAATCCATTTCATCTAGCAGGTTTGACTTGTGTCATTCTCGAAGAAAGAACTGTGCTTCCTTCCTTAAGTGAGATACAAGTCAATCTCCCGAGTCCATTCAAAGATGGTCTCTAAAATAGGACTGCTGTTTTCAAGGAATGAATCTCCACTGCGTAGCCATCAGGTCCCAAAAGATCTTATGTCTAAATTTATACGGCTAGAGTATTGCATTAGAGTACATATGCTAAATGGATCAGATCATTTTGAGTAACTTGCTGTTGAGGTTGAGACTGAATTCCTTCCACACCTATACTCTTGTTCACATACTAAATCAAATTGAATTCTTTGTACTTTAGTTACTTTTTTACTTCTAAAATTTTTTAATTTACAGATAAAATATTCTATCAGTAATTAGATATTAAGTCCATTAACATGATTTTTACTGATAAGTTTATAAATAAAAATATTTCATCAAAAACTTATTATTAGTGATTTATAGTCTATTAGTGAGTTCACTAACAATAAAATTACTATCAAATTTATATATAGACGAAGCATGTCACAAAAAACAATTATACAATTTAATTCGTCAATATTTTCATCAATTACTTTCACATATCATCAACAAAAAAAATCATCAATAATGTCAACAATGAGTTCTTTTTAATATTATCGAACCGTTGTTATTAAATAGTGGTATAATGGTGTTTGTAATGATTTTTTTTTTCAACTCTCTTGCAATATACTAATGGACTTAATCTGATGGTAAGACTATCAATAATGTTTTAAAAATATTTTTTAAAAAATAAATCTATTAAATAGAAGTAGAAAATAATTAAAATAAATTAAAAATCATATATTTATTATAAATTTATAAATTTAAATACAATTAATCTCGAATAGAGAGGCTAAAGGAGAAGGAGACAAGTCTTAACCGGAACCGTAGAGCCAACAAGGAGGAGCATATATACCACCCATCTGTGATTTCATCTCCATTACTAATTGACAAAGTTTGACCATCTCAACACTGAGTTATTATGTCTTAATAGTTAGATAGGTTGTTCGAGCTTGAACTTGTTGGTCAAAAATCATCTTGAACTCTAAACTTTGAGTGCTTGAAATTAATTGTGAGCCTCCAATAGTAGAAACACTCTAGGTCATCTATCAGTCTTTGACCGTAGTGTATGAGATACAGTACATCCAATTTCTATCAGGTTCACCAAACAATCATTTCTCCAATTATCCAAATCGAGTTTTGAATGGGTCAAAAGATCGTCTTTATATCTCTCCTTCAATGGGGTATTATATGTATACTAAAAAAAAGTTAACAAATTCAAAAAAATAATAATATAAGAAAAGAAATTTTTGAAATTCAACGTACCACAAAGTGCTAAGCTCAGCTATCTACGAGATGTTGCATCATTTTTTGACGGTCATCATTTCACACATTTATTTCTACAAATAGCTCCATCAAACTTGATTCACATCCAAGAGCAGTAGCCTGTAAAAAAAAAATTATTGTTAGTTAAACATATTCATATAAAACAACAAACTAAAAAAATGGATGTATTAAAAAAATATTATTATTCACTTTGCATGCGAAACGAATAAAATGGATCTATCATTGTATGTGGTAATGAAACGTGCTGAATATATTCCACCTAAACAGACTCTGAGACATGCGGAGGTTTGAAATCCTTTCAAACAGCCATGTCCTTCCAGTTTGGAAGCTCTTTTTCTGTAGTTTTTTTTTTTTTTTTTTTTTTTTTTTTTGCTTTCTTTTGCATCTCGTACCAAAAATCACTCAACCTATATGGTACAAATAAATTAGCTATTAAAAAGTGAAAAATAAAATGTTAAAATTTAGATTAAAAAATTATCTTGATTTTAATTTTACCTAATTACAACATAATTCTCTTAAACCCTCATAATAATAGCATTGTTGGCTCTATCCTGGTAAAACATTTCTTTGTCGTTCAAATTTTAAAAGAATAATTTCCTCAATATTAATAAAACTAACCAAATAAAACAAAACTATTTAAGTTAATGCTAACTTTAAACATTTTTAACCATGCATCAATTATGGGTTTTCATTTAAGATTTTTGAAAACCTAACTCTATTAAAATAATAGCACTTCCATCAATGATTTCATCGTCAATGCTATGGTTCGAGAAGCCTCAATATTTATAAACGTAAAATAACATTCATTAATTGAAATTACTTTTTCAAAAATTATTAACATGTTCTTTATTTTTCAGTAGTGCATGAAAGGAAAACAAACCTACATTAAAAGGTCGAGCTTCAATTGGGCATGGTACTTCCTAGTAAATAAATCCCATTGTAAAAGGACCTTTTCTCAATGTAACAACATTGCACTCGACGAGCCCGTATCAAAAGTGGGTGCCTATGACTCAAGTATTTATTCTTGGTTAGCACCTAATGACTCATAGTCCTCAAAAGCACTGCTAAAAGAACTAGCAATGATCATATTCGTACGATGTACTATTAACTTTCCTCTAGGTATCAATATAAATTAAAGGATTAAGATGTTGTGAACCATTCTTATTTAAAAGAAAAAATTGACAACACCTCTCAATACGAGAAACTACCTAAATTTTGTTTACTTGCAAATACACACAATTTAAATTCAATTGCCTCATACCGTCTAATTTTATTCAATTTGTTTCCTTGTTATTGGGTGAAGAGTTCACTTAACTTGTACTCAACCTAGTTTTTAGATTATTGTTTTTAGATTTGTTTTATTAATACATATATTTATTATAAAGCGAACCAAATTATTGAATCTTTACTTTTCAACTATAATTTTATTTCATGAATAGAAAAGGCTTATTTTCTATAATTAGGTTATATATACAATTATTATCATAACAATATTATATTGTATATCCTATAAAAATCAATCTAAATTTATAACCTTAACTTGTAATTGAAATTGAACCTATAATTATGAATATTGGGTAATTAATTATTATTATTATTATTATTAACTAAGAATATTTAAAATTTATTAATGTATTAACTAATAATAATTAAAATCAATCTTATACATTGAATTGAAATTTAAAAACAAAATTAGAAAAACAATTCCAACAATAACATTCATGTAATTATTAAGAACATAAAAATAAAATAAAATAAACAAAACCAAAAATAAGTGTGAAGAAAAAAAAATCTTACCTTAATTTTGTAGTGAGTGAAGCTGAGAAGATTAAAAAAATTCATAAAATATTTTAATTTTAAAAAAAAAAAGCTTAGAAGAGAAAAGAGAAAAAAACATACCTACATATGAAAGAGAAGAGGAGATGAAAAGGACTAGGAAAAGACAAGGAAAAGGTGTATCCATTATGAAATTAAAGATTCTATTCTTTTAGTTTATGCTTTTTTATTGACAATTTTACTAGTAGTTAATTAACTATTAATATTTTTAAGATTTTATTTTTTTAGTTTATGCTTTTTTATTGATGATTTTACTAGCAGTTAATTAATTATTAATATTTTTAACATTTTATTATGTGATTTTGTGTGGTATTTAATTAAAAATTTTATTTTATTTAAAAATATTTAGAAACATCCTCAAATATCATAGATAAATTTTCATTCCATCAATGATTTTATATATAATGGCATCATGAACAGTACAGTAAAAAGTGAATAGTTCAAAAACTTTCAAAAAATAACTGATAGATGTTAACAATCGGTAATCTGTATGTAATGAATATCATGAATAAAAGTGTTATTAAGAAGTGAATAATATAAAAAAAATTAAAAAATATATATTAAAATAATACTGTTTTATATTAATATATCAAATTAATATAAAAAATTAAAAAAAAATTATATTAATAGCATTTTGACAGCATCGACAAGAGCTCCCAAAAAAGGCAACCACCCTACTGTCCACCCCGGTGAGTTCATCAGCAGCATCTCTGCATTCTGCATATGGTTTAATTAATTTATGCAGCTTCTTCTGTTAAGATTTCCTATTGCTTCGATACGCCAATGAATGCCTTCTTTCTAATACATCTTCTGCCAGCTGGCAGTTATATATCAAGTTGGAAAACACCCCCTCTTCATACACTCTGCGCGACCCATGCTTCGTAATGGGTCAGATAATTGTTTTGGAAAAACAAAAAAAAGGCTTTTTAAAGATGTTTTGGCTTCTTACTAATACATGAATGCTTCTGCCAGCTGCCAGCTGCCAGTTACGTTAACATTTGGCCCAAAATGTCAACTTGGAGCCCCGCTCCTTTAGTACTTTGTCTACAATCTTCATACAATCTGCACCGGCTACTCTTTATAAAATCTCAATGGTTATTTCATTCCTGATAATTATTTTAGAAAAAAAATATAAAATATTTTTAAATATATTTTTTTATTTTACTTATAAATCAAAAAGCATGTGTATATATATCAAAAATTATTTGTGCTAATAAATATAAAAAAAACAAAGTGGTAACATATTTATTTA